TAGACTAGACTATAGACTAGACTATAGACTAGACTATAGACTAGACTATAGACTAGACTATAGACTAGACTATAGACTAGACCTATAGACTAGACTATAGACTAGACTATAGACTAGACTATAGACTAGACTATAGACTAGACTATAGACTAGACTATAGACTAGACTACTAGACTAGACTAGAGACTAGACTATAGACTAGACTATAACTAGACTATAGACTAGACTATAGACTAGACTATAGACTAGACTATAGACTAGACTATAGACTAGACTATAGACTAGACTATAGACTAGACTATAGATAGACTATAGACTAGACTATAGACCTAGACTATAGACCAAGACTATAGACTAGACTATAGACTAGACTATAGACTAGACCTATAGACAGACTATAGACTAGACTATAGACTAGACTATAGACTAGACTATAGACTATACTATAGACTAGACTATAGACTAGACTATAGACTACTATAGACTAGACTATAGACTAGACTATAGACTAGACTATAGACTAGACTATAGACTAGACTATAGACTAGACTATAACTAGACTATAGACTAGACTATAGACTAGACTATAGACTAGACTATAGACTAGACTATAGACTAGACTATAGACTAGACTATAGACTAGACTATAGACTAGACTTAGACTAGACTATAGACTAGACTATAGACTAGACTATAGACTAGACTATAGACTAGACTATAGACTAGACTATAGACTAGACTATAGACTAGACTATAGACTAGACTATATACTAGACTATAGACTAGACTAGAGACTAGACTATAGACTAGACTATAGACTAGACTATAGACTATACTATAGACTAACTATAGACTAGACTATAGACTAGACTATAGACTAGACTATAGACTAGACTATAGACTAGACTATAGACTAGACTATAGACTAGACTATAGACTAGACTATAGACTAGACTATAGACTAGACTATAGACTAGACTATAGACTAGACTATAGACTAGACTATAGACTAGACTATAGACTAGACTATAGACTAGACTATAGACTAGACTATAGACTAGACTATAGACTAGACTATAGACTAGACTATAGACTAGACTATAGACTAGACTATAGACTAGACTATAGACTAGACTATAGACTAGACTATAGACTAGACTATAGACTAGACTATAGACTAGACTATAGACTAGACTATAGACTAGACTATAGACTAGACTATAGACTAGACTATAGACTAGACTATAGACTAGACTATAGACTAGACTATAGACTAGACTATAGACTAGACTATAGACTAGACTATAGACTAGACTATAGACTAGACTATAGACTAGACTATAGACTAGACTATAGACTAGACTATAGACTAGACTATAGACTAGACTATAGACTAGACTATAGACTAGACTATAGACTAGACTATAGACTAGACTATAGACTAGACTATAGACTAGACTATAGACTAGACTATAGACTAGACTATAGACTAGACTATAGACTAGACTATAGACTAGACTATAGACTAGACTATAGACTAGACTATAGACTAGACTATAGACTAGACTATAGACTAGACTATAGACTAGACTATAGACTAGACTATAGACTAGACTATAGACTAGACTATAGACTAGACTATAGACTAGACTATAGACTAGACTATAGACTAGACTATAGACTAGACTATAGACTAGACTATAGACTAGACTATAGACTAGACTATAGACTAGACTATAGACTAGACTATAGACTAGACTATAGACTAGACTATAGACTAGACTATAGACTAGACTATAGACTAGACTATAGACTAGACTATAGACTAGACTATAGACTAGACTATAGACTAGACTATAGACTAGACTATAGACTAGACTATAGACTAGACTATAGACTAGACTATAGACTAGACTATAGACTAGACTATAGACTAGACTATAGACTAGACTATAGACTAGACTATAGACTAGACTGTAGACTAGACTATAGACTAGACTATAGACTAGACTGTAGACTAGACTATAGACTAGACTATAGACTAGACTATAGACTAGACTATAGACTAGACTATAGACTAGGCTATAGACTAGACTATAGACTAGACTATAGACTAGACTATAGACTAGACTATAGACTAGACTATAGACTAGACTATAGACTTGACTATAGACTAGACTATAGACTAGACTATAGACTAGACTATAGACTAGACTATAGACTAGACTATAGACTAGACTATAGACTAGACTATAGACTAGGCTATAGACTAGACTATAGACTAGACTATAGACTAGACTATAGACTAGACTATAGACTAGGCTATAGACTAGACTATAGACTAGACTATAGACTAGACTATAGACTAGACTATAGACTAGACTATAGACTAGACTATAGACTAGACTATAGACTAGACTATAGACTAGACTATAGACTAGACTATAGACTAGACTATAGACTAGACTATAGACTAGACTATAGACTAGACTATAGACTAGACTATAGACTAGACTATAGACTAGACTATAGACTAGACTATAGACTAGACTATAGACTAGACTATAGACTAGACTATAGACTAGACTATAGACTAGACTATAGACTAGACTATAGACTAGACTATAGACTGGACTATAGACTAGACTATAGACTAGACTAGACTATAGACTAGACTATAGACTAGACTATAGACTAGACTATAGACTAGACTATAGACTAGACTATAGACAAGACTATAGACTAGACTATAGACTAGACTATAGACTAGACAATAGACTGGACTATAGACTAGACTATAGACTAGACTATAGACTAGACTAGACTATAGACTATAGACTAGACTATAGACTAGACTATAGACTAGACTATAGACTAGACTATAGACTAGACTATAGACTAGACTATAGACTAGACTATAGACTAGACTATAGACTAGACTATAGACTAGACTATAGACTAGACTATAGACTAGACTATAGACTAGACTATAGACTAGACTGTAGACTAGACTATAGACTAGACTATAGACTAGACTATAGACTAGACTATAGACTAGACTATAGACTAGACTGTAGACTAGACTATAGACTAGACTATAGACTAGACTGTAGACTAGACTATAGACTAGACTATAGACTAGACTATAGACTAGACTATAGACTAGACTATAGACTAGACTATAGACTAGACTATAGACTAGACTATAGACTAGACTATAGACTAGACTATAGACTAGACTATAGACTAGACTATAGACTAGACTATAGACTAGACTATAGACTAGACTATAGACTAGACTATAGACTAGACTATAGGCTAGACTATAGACTAGACTATAGACTAGACTATAGACTAGACTATAGACTAGACTATAGACTAGACTATAGACTAGACTATAGACTAGACTATAGACTAGACTATAGACTAGGCTATAGACTAGACTATAGACTAGACTATAGACTAGACTATAGACTAGACTATAGACTAGACTATAGACTAGACTATAGACTAGACTATAGACTAGACTATAGACTAGACTATAGACTAGACTATAGACTAGACTATAGACTAGACTATAGACTAGACTATAGACTAGACTATAGACTAGACTATAGACTAGACTATAGACTAGACTATAGACTAGACTATAGACTAGACTATAGACTAGACTATAGACTAGACTATAGACTAGACTATAGACTAGACTATAGACTAGACTATAGACTGGACTATAGACTAGACTATAGACTAGACTATAGACTAGACTAGACTATAGACTATAGACTATAGACTAGACTAGACTATAGACTAGACTATAGACTAGACTATAGACTAGACTATAGACTAGACTATAGACTAGACTATAGACTAGACTATGGACTAGTCTATAGACTATATAAATAATAGTACCACCCTAATTTGAATGTCGTACCACCTTTTCCTACAATGATAAACATCATCCATCTTTGGCTGCCGGTTTCTGCTATATTGTTCTAACACGTTTTAGAGGCCAAGAGCTGGTGTTTTCAATTTATTCAGTTAATAGAGGCAACTAAGATGCTATTGAGGATTTTGAAGGGTCATATAGTACGACAGAAAATTATTTGGGAAACAATTACACATACTTTCTTTAGTTTTAAATATAAATTCAAATGATAAGAAATTTAGTTCCAAGTGATCATAATGTTAGTTGGTCTCATTAAATTCTTTTTTTAACTTTGCTAAGAGTATAAAATTTTCCCTTTTTTACGCTACAAATCAATTGGAAGAACAACAACAACTTCAACTTACCACATTTATAATCAGGACAACAGTGTCCTGTTTTCTGTATGGCACGACAACCCACTTGTTTTTCACAGAAAACCGTTGTTTCTGGCACATATTCACCATCTAATAGACATTGGCCTAAAACAGAAAAATAGTTCAAAAAAATTAAACTACATAAGTAACGGCAGACAGACATCATGATCATTGGTGAAAAAATGAAAGTCATGAATGCAAAAAAGTAAAACACACTGCACTAACTAGTAATGAAAAGGAAAACAATAGAAGTTACAAAATTAAAAAGGACCTTGTAGAAGGCACAAGATAACAAGCTGTTTGCATATTGCTTTGCTTTATCTTGCACTTTTTCGATTTTTTTGTTTTGCAACAGCAAAAAAAAAAACAAGGAAACTATTATTACAATGTTTTTTACCACATATGTATGTTTTTTAACTACCTTGTGGTTGTTCCAACGAGACTTCTGTGGAAGAACTTTGTTGCAAAGAATCTTTCAGATTCTCCTGCTGTTGTTGTTGAAAACTGGCCGACAGTGAAGCGCCCACATCTCGTATATAACGTTGATGCCATAATTGTTGTTGTTGCTGCTGTTGTTGTGTGGGTATATCCCCATAAAGCGTCAAATAACCACTACCCATGGCAGGAACTAAAAAATAGAGAGAAAATTCATGAAAAAAACAAAGAAATATTAGATTAAATGACAGAAATATGTTAAGAGTATAAAAATAGTAGAACAAAAGAATAGGTTTTAGTTGTAATGCTTTTTAATTACAATTGAAATTCTTTAGTACATTTTTTTGGTACAATTTGGTACAAAAGTACTTTGTACTTTTGAAGTACTTTTCTTCATCACTTACAAAGACTATAGACTAGACTATAGACTAGACTATAGACTAGACTATAGACTAGACTATAGACTAGACTATAGACTAGACTATAGACTAGACTATAGACTAGACTATAGACTAGACTATAGACTAGACTATAGACTAGACTATAGACTAGACTATAGACTAGACTATAGACTAGACTATAGACTAGACTATAGACTAGACTATAGACTAGACTATAGACTAGACTATAGACTAGACTATAGACTAGACTATAGACTAGACTATAGACTAGACTATAGACTAGACTATAGACTAGACTATAGACTAGACTATAGACTAGACTATAGACTAGACTATAGACTAGACTAGACTAGACTATAGACTAGGACTATAGACTAGACTATAGACTAGACTATAGACTAGACTATAGACTAGACTATAGACTAGACTATAGACTAGACTATAGACTAGACTATAGACTAGACTATAGACTAGACTATAGACTAGACTATAGACTAGACTATAGACTAGACTATAGACTAACTATAGACTAGACTATAGACTAGACTATAGACTAGACTATAGACTAGACTATAGACTAGATATAGACTAGACTATAGACTAGACTATAGACTAGACTATAGACTAGACTATAGACTAGACTATAGACTAGACTATAGACTAGACTATAGACTAGACTATAGACTAGACTATAGACTAGACTATAGACTAGACTATAGACTAGACTATAGACTAGACTATAGACTAGACTATAGACTAGACTATAGACTAGACTATAGACTAGACTATAGACTAGACTATAGACTAGACTATAGACTAGACTATAGAAGGACTATAGACTAGACTATAGACTAGACTATAGACTAGACTATAGACTAGACTATAGACTAGACTATAGACTAGACTATAGACTTAGACTATAGACTAGACTATAGACTAGACTATAGACTAGACTATAGACTAGACTATAGACTAGACTATAGACTAGACTATAGACTAGACTATAGACTAGACTATAGACTAGACTATAGACTAGACTATAGACTAGACTATAGACTAGACTATAGACTAGACTTAGACTAGACTATAGACTAGACTATAGACTAGTCTATAGTCTAGTCTATAGTTTGACTTTCTTTTAGAATTCTTTTGAAATTCTTTAGTACATTTTTTTGGTACAATTTGGTACAAAAGTACTTTGTACTTTTAAAGTACTTTTCTTCATCACTTACATAGACTATAGACTAGACTACAGACTAGACTATAGACTAGACTATAGACTAGACTATAGACTAGACTATAGACTAGACTATAGACTAGACTATAGACTAGACTATAGACTAGACTATAGACTAGGCTATAGACTAGACTATAGACTAGACTATAGACTAGACTATAGACTAGACTATAGACTAGACTATAGACTAGACTATAGACTAGACTATAGACTAGACTATAGACTAGACTATAGATTAGACTATAGACTAGACTATAGACTAGACTATAGATTAGACTATAGACTAGACTATAGACTAGACTATAGACTAGACTATAGACTAGACTATAGACTAGACTATAGACTAGACTATAGACTAGACTATAGACTAGACTATAGACTAGACTATAGACTAGACTATAGACTAGACTATAGACTAGACTATAGACTAGACTATAGACTAGACTATAGACTAGACTATAGACTAGACTATAGACTAGACTATAGACTAGACTATAGACTAGACTATAGACTAGGCTATAGACTAGACTAGACTAGATTACAGACTAGACTATAGACTAGACTATAGACTAGACTATAGACTAGACTATAGACTAGACTATAGACTAGACTATAGACTAGACTATAGACTAGACTATAGACTAGACTATAGACTAGACTATAGACTAGACTATAGACTAGACTATAGACTAGACTATAGACTAGACTATAGACTAGACTATAGACTAGACTATAGACTAGACTATAGACTAGACTATAGACTAGACTATAGACTAGACTATAGACTAGACTATAGACTAGACTATAGACTAGACTATAGACTAGACTAGACTAGTCTATAGTCTGAGTATTGAACAATAAACAATCTTGAGTTGAAAGCGTCACCAATGGCTTCTAGTATCGAAAAGAGTTCCAAAGACTACTCTTAATGAGGTTTTTCTTTAATATAAAAGGTGTCTCTTTAACTTTAAAGGTAAAGTTTATAGTTTATTATACTTTAAAGCTTTTTGCTAATTTCATTATGTTCGTGGTTCTCCCCTCTACCTTTTAACTAAGACAATCCCACCCACTTATGGTATAAAAATATGTTCGTTTATACTTGAAAGTTTATTTGTAGCAGCAGTTCATTCCTTCTCTAGGGTGCAACACTTTGTTTAACATGACATTTTGACAAAGTTCTTAACCAACTTCTCCTGTACATAGTTTTTGGTTAGTTTTGGTTGGTTGTTGTTACAGTTATTTGGTCAAGTAACTAATTTTAGTAGTTTTTTTCTTTTCTTTTTTTTGCATTTAGTTTATTTTGAACAACTTAAATTGCTTGTCTCGTTTGTCTTGCTATTTTGATACATAGTTTTTGTTTATTTAGTTGAAATTTTTAAAATGACATAAAAATTAAAGTTTTTATAAGCACAATTTCAGTTAGATATATTTTCGAAATGTAGAAGGTATGACATAAGACATATTCGGTACAATTTTAGCAATTTGCCTTTAGTCAAATAAGTGGAAGCTATTTAGTACTTCTTCAAAACCCTAGTTTATATTTTCACTAAATAATTAAAGTATTTTTAAAAATACCTATTTATTTAATTAATTGTATGTAATTTAAAACCAACTACAACAAAGACATTCTTATGACTAAATTAAAAAGTCAAATACTTGATGATTCCAAGAAAAAAAAACTAAAATTTGAATTTAATTTACTGACAACAAGTGTATTTGTTTTATTAAATTAAATACAAATACAAAAATATTTACACCTACACATATTTGTATAAATATGTATGTTTTTAATAAAACTTATACTTAAATAAACAATACAAAATTAAAGCACAATTAATAATACAAAAAAAAAAGAAGAAGAAGAAAAACAATTTAAACACAATCATATTTAAGATGAAATTTTGAAGATGATGACGGCAGGGAGAGAAACAATGATAATGACAACAAATATAATAAATATCATAGTTAAACCCAGTAAACAATAATATGTAAGAACAGATTTAAGTACTATCGAAGAATCTAACTAAACTTCTTATTAGCTAATTTTCATAAACTAATTAGTATCTTTATGGGTGATGTCTCAAAAACCATTCGACCGATATTGAAAACTAAAAGAGCTTAAAGCTACTTTTTTGGAAAGATAGAGAATTTTGATTTGAGAATTTTTTCTCTTCTTTAATTTGTGACATGATATGTTTTGTGCTCGCTCCTGTTGGTATGCTATATAATATTTACAACAATAGAATCAACACAATTTTGTGGTTTTCCAGATTAAATATTAAAGTATTTTGAAATAAAAAGTGAGAGTAGGAAAACTATTAACAACAATTTAGCTTAAGCAGCCACAATAAATATTATTTATTTACCGCTTAGAGGCAGACATAAAGATAATTATCGGTGCAGGGCTGAGTATGAGATCTGGTTATATGGTGTTGTTTGAGTATAAGACGATATATTTAAAAGTAATGTGAATATGAGACAGTAGTCTAATCAAAATAGAGTCTGAGTATGAGACAATACTTTCGAGTATAGGAAATTAGTCTGAGAAATAGACAGTAGACTAAATATAAGAATGTAGTCTAAGTATAAGAGAATAGTCTTAATATAAGACAAAAGTATGAGTATAAAACTGTAGCCTACGTATAAAACAGTATTCTGAGTATAAGAGAGAAGAGTGAGCTTCAGTCAGTAGTCTTAATATTAGTCTGAGTACAACCATGTAGTCTAAGTATAAGAGAGTAGTCTGAATATAAGACAGTAGTCTGAATATAAGACAGTCACGAGCAAAACTGAAATTCTAATGCACGCGTGCATAGGCCAAGAAATTCTGCTGACGCTTTGTTGACACACCTACACTATAAGCTTGTGTGTATTAGTGTGTCTGTGTTTTACTAAAATGACCACTTGTTTGTTGCTTTGTTACGATCTCAGAGATCAAAATCAAATCAGTTGCTGTTCAGCTTTGTAGAAGCAAGATCGCGTTGCGGATTTTTTTATGCTTATGATTTTTTCTCTTTTATTACACCTAGCAAAATGTTTGATATAAATTGGGAAAATGATTTCTTTTTTATAGAAAACATGGACGGTGAGGCACAATGCGTCGTATGTTATAAAATTATATGTAGAAAAGCTTTATTTTTTTTGAAAATGCATTATGAAACTTGCCATGGACCCTTAAATGACCTTAGGGGACATGACAGAAAAGTAAAGTTGTTGCGATTAAAAGGTTAACCGATCAACACATTGGTGACTTATTGCGTATTAAGGAATATAAAGGAAACATTGATTTGGATAGATTAGTTGAACTTTAAATTAAGTTCAATATCTCGGTAATATCCCTTAAAAGTTCGAAATCGAATAGAAAGTCGTGATTTTCTTAATGATATTTCATTAGTTTTATTTAATACTACTTTTTAAAAATACTACTACTTTTCTTAAATGAAAAACTCTTTCCCTTTATTCCATTTTTGTTTAAAATGCACAAAAGTTCATGAGTTTTTCTCGTCGTAAAAAGTATTTGCAATAGAAAACAAATTTCAAAACTTTTCTCAGTGT